TCGCTTTTGTGTATAACGATTAGTTACAAAGAAAAGACTATTACTAATAAAAATCAAATAACTGTGATCATGTTAAGTGCTTCAAAATTGGTGAAGAAAAACTGTACCTCAGCGTTACTAAAAATGTCACGCTGTTTTCTTGCACTTTTTATCTAAGCAAAAATAGCTTGGAGAAAACGATTTTAGTGTTTTAAAGCCTGGTCAAAAAGCACTACAAAACTAACTTGAGAAGTGTTTCATTTGGAAAAATAGTTGCAGAAGAAACTGCAGCTTATTAGTGGCCCTGAAGAAAAGGGTCTTTTTATGTCACAGTCAAGTAACCAAAACTCCTCTCTATAACCAAGAGACTTAATCAAAAGATGGTCATTTTATGGCATAAACATATCATGACAAGTTGCATCAAATCACGCTTGAACGAACTTTCTAACTCACACAATTTCCAAGATAATGAAAAACAAAGTGAGTCAAAAAAGGTCACAGCGTTACGCTTGAACAAAACCATTTACGTAACTGCATATGATAGACAACAATAAAAGTTTTTAAAAAACACACAACTATTTATAAAGACTATTTTACTTTGTTTGAATATCTTCACTTAAAATAGTCAGTTATTTTCATTTAGTCCGTTTGATAATGTGAAAAGAAATTGTAAATAAAATAGAGTCCGTTTCAAAAAAATTCTAAGAATACAAAAGAATCAATAATTATCGAATAGATCTGTTTAAAAAACACGAAAATTATAGTAAAACAAGAGAGTTTTAAGCAATTTTCTACTTTTTTTCCTTTTTATAGGAAATACAGGAGAAAAAATAGGAATTTTTTTAAGTATAGGAAATATAGGAAATATAGGACGAATCCGAGGCCAGAGAAAAGATCACGATTAATTTTAATGAATTACAAATTGATTACATTGTTAATACTGTTTTTTTTTAATTCGAAGTCTATTAAAGATTATACCACATCAGTTTTTTTTTGTAAAAGCCAGGTCAAAATCAATCTTAATCTCAATCGCACTGTAGCTAAAAATCTATCTTCATATTATTTGAATATCTTATGAATTTGTTCCACTTTAATTGAGTACGCTTTGAATGACTTCTTATTTCATTTTAAAAGTTAAAAATATTAGAGAAAAATCTCAGTAAAGTTAATCAGCATTTCAGCAATATTCAAATGAAGCTATTCGTACGGTTAAGGCATTTTATTAAAAAATAATCGAACAACTCAAACTCTATCAATCGATAACTTTGATGTACTTGAATCATGATGGAATCATTATTAATATAAAATTAATTACAAACGATTCAGATCAGTAGAGGTTGGTTACGAGCTTCAACATTAATACACAAAATAATTCATTACACTTGATGCTTATTCTAAAGTTTCTGCATAGGTCATTGTCCAATTTGAGGGTGTGATGCACGAAATTATTTCAATTTAAGAGTTTGTATTTCTTTTAATAGATTCCTTTCGAATCAATAATTAATCAGAAATATTTATATATGTCGTGCTGAAGTTAAACTTCAGCAATAAAAATTTGTTGAAGTTACTTTGCAACATTTTTTAAAAATATCTTTCATCAAGAAGTGAACAATCATCATGTTGAATCATATATTGAAACTTCTGTTTTCAACCAAAAAATATTCATAAATATATTTATAACATATTTATTGTGAATAATTTACAAATTATTTAAAAATAAGGAATTTTATTTACTAATCTCGCTGAGTTGCTTACTCATTTAGAGTACTTCATATGTTCTGGAGTATTGAAAAAGGCAAAAAACGTTTATGGTATTATCAGTGATAAACTTGAATTGATAACACATAAAAATCGACGCTTTTGTGAGTAGATGTTAAGCTTTCCATATATATATTCAACTAAAGAAAAGATAGGCATGAGTCGATCTACTCATGATTGTCGTATTGTATTGGTAATTATATTCAGTTTTAGTAACGTTTACGCAGTAAAACTAATTATCCGATACGAAATGAAAGAGAAGTATAATTAAATAATCAGATTATGGATCCCGGATAATTTCGATTAATGTTAAAGAAGGGTGTAAATTGACGGAAAAAAAGTATATTCGAATAATTTCAACGACAGAGTATAGCACACACATTCTCAGACCTATAAATTTGCAACATGATTGCTACACCTGTACGATCACCTGTGGTTCACATTTAAAGTACTCGAAATGAGTAAGAAACTCAACGAGATTAGTAAATAAAATTCCTTATTTTTAAATAATTTGTAAATTATTCACAATAAATATTTTATAAATATATTCATGAATATTGTTCGGTTGAATACAGAAGTTTCAATATATGATTCAACATGATGATTGTAATGAAAAGAGATGAATAAAAAAGAAAATATAACAATGATACACTGACCGTTCTACTATACCACTTGCTAGTTATAAATATGACCTTTTAATTCTAATTTATTATTTTTTGCTTTAAAATTAAAACTACGGTTTTCTCATGAGTGGAAAAGATTTGTCGAAAACGGTTGTTCACAATGAGCGTTCTGGCAACAGAAAAAAAAGTTCTTAAAAGTGAATAAATTTCAAGAGAGGAAGGGCTAAAGCATTCCTGAATGTTCAGACTTGTACTATTAATACTTTTTTCCATATAACTTTCTTCAAAGTAGCGGAGATTACTTTTTACTGAACAATTTTTCTAATGAAAAAAATAAAGACTCATTCAATCAAGCTAATTTACATTACATACTCAGACAAATTAAAATTGCACTATATGGGTAATCTACGATTTTCAGGAAAGATCACATGAATATTGTGGTAACTCTGAGCGGCGCTCGTTTAAATTTTTTTCTTTATTCTTTCTTTCGTAAAATCCAATATATTCATAACAAGAAAAATTCAAATAAGTTACTTTTTTGGTAGTAGCTTAATATGGAATGTTGCCATTCAGTTTTCTTTTTTTCATATATTTAATGTCAGCAGCTTAGTACATTTCAACAAACAAATTCCTGCATAGCTTTTTTTCAATAGTAGTTGTTCAGAAGGTTAGAGGTCAATGAAGATGAGAAAAACTGAAGTACGAACCGATGTAATACCAATGAAACTTTTTCTAGACGCCCTTCATGTGTGAGTTCAAAGAATTTCGGTTATTCAAACAACATCAATAAAGTATCGCAACTATTATTCGAAATTCACATCTGAAATTCATATAAAATATGTCTCAGATTTTCATTACAGATTGATTTTAAGCAACCTTTGATGGTATATATTTTCTACTAGAGTTAAATCGCACCTACTTCATAATATCAACACTAATCGAAAATATAGTAGAAAGTTCAAAATTTAAAATGTTTCAACAAATGATTTGGAGTTATGAAACATATTATTGTGAGCAATTTTGTTATCGAAAATAACTTAAAATTCATTACGAATCTATTAAAATTGGAGTTTTAGTGTATCTAACAAAATTTCATTAGATTTTACATTTACCCGACAGCTTGAATGATAATTATACAATACACCTAAGTGAGTTCGACGTATACGAATTTTGGGAAGGTTTTTAAAGCATATATAATATTGACTCATCATTTTGCTCTCTATTTAATTACAACCCATAAATAGTATTTCTAGCCTCGGCTCACTCTCATCGCTGTATTAATATCGTAATTGTTTGTATTATATGCAGAATATATATATATATATATTTCTCCATCGAATGATGTCATTTTCGATATGGACCATTGAGTGAAAATTTATGTGTAAGTGTAATTATATGGCACACACGGCATTTGATTAACAAATTCTATTTACAACACCCCATGATTCTTTATAAATAAATTATATATATTTCATAGTTAATATCTCTTCTCCGAGCGATGATTATCTTTAATTTCAAATTCTGAATCAAGTTGATTTAGATACTTATTGCAATTGCAACGGTATTTCGGATAGAATATCTAAACTCTATTTTTATTTATTTCTCATAGACGATTGCGCCACATGTTTTATCCAATCTTAGGTTTTATTTAGATACATTTTTAAGATTATTCGGTTGGATAACATGGAGGCAAGAAAATAAAATAACGGTATATCATATGAGTGAAAGGAAACGAAAACAATTACCTCCTTTTTTTTTGAAAAACTTGTAACATTAATTCTCATCGATTCTTCCGAAATGTTAACATCCATGTCAAACAATCCTCCATCATTCATACGATAAGAAATTCATAATAATGCTGCGCATTATTTCTTATTTTAATTTATTTGATATCACATAAGTTAAATAACGATTGAATTGAATGAGGCTATTTAATTTCAATAACTTTTTATATTCCAGTTTTTAAGATTCAAAACGACGTAAATAAAATAATTAGAGAAATTCACCAAGAAGAAATAAAAAAAAGAATGAAATTTTTTGAATATAATTTTAATCGGAACTTCGTCAATTCTATTAAAATATTCTTTGGGTATTTTTAACAAATCAACGCAAAAAAAAACAAATAAACTCAACTGGAATTTAACAATATAATAATTGATCATCATTTTACTGTTCATTGGATGAAACTGATTTTACATCAACAACTAAAGCAGCTATTGATCTAATAGATATGATTGTTTTTTGTATATTTTAGATAGATAAATTACTTAATCAATGAATTAAATCGTACTATTATACATGGTGTAAGATTTTTACCCATTTTTCTTTTATGAAGTTTTTACGATGATTAATTTTCGCTGAAAAATATTGGGCAGCTATTCATCGAATTGTATCTTAAAATTGAATGTTTACAAACAAAAAAAACAGAACATGTTCCTCACTTCATTTATATACAGTGAAATAGAAATGAAGAACTGCAATCATTCGATATTAGATACAGATATAATATATCTTTAAATTTCTACACATATATTTTGTCTATTGTTTTAGTTCGCAAATAAAATTTCTTCTAATTTGTTTCTTTTGAAATAAATAATGTTAAAAGAATCTTTTCTTTATTTCTTAGATATTATTAAAAGAATGGACTCACCAAAAAATAGTGATTGTATGTAGAAAATTTTTAATTTAAAATTAAAATTCGAAATTCATGAATATAATTTAGTCGATGATAATGATCAAATTCGTCTTTTATCAAACTTACGTCATGATATAAGAACATTACTTAGTTCACATCCAAAGGGTATTTGGTTTCGAATGTTACCAAAAGTATTTTACATGCACTTTAATCGTGATATTCATTTGGATTTATTTGCTATAACAAATCAACTTTTATTTCTTGATTATATATCAGATATAATTAAATTTGAATTACCTGATAATTTAAATGAAGAAGATTTTATCATTGAATTAAATGATGATCAAAGACAAGAATTATATTCATCAGTTCAATTTATGGATTTTAAATTACGACGGTGAATAAAAAGAAACTATTTTCCTATCGATTTCTTCATTTTTTTTTGTAGAGATGTTTTATTCGAACTCTTACAAAATGCAAGTTTTGAAAAGCGTGGTTCAATTTTACGTGAAATTTGTATTATCGATGAGCATTCGAAATCTATGAATTGTGATAAAGAAATGTCCCTCTCACCAAAAAGTTGATAAAGAAATTGTTTTAATAGTGCTAATATTCTATTTTTTGTTTCGCTTATAGTACCAACTCATGAGCAAGTAGCTATACGTCTTCAAAAGATACGTTCAATGATTGATTTTTGTCTTAATTATATGATTAAAAAGCCCAATGAAGTATCTGATAATGAATTAAATGTATTATACGACGATTCAGATGAATTTATTCGTAACTTAACACCATTAGCTCAACGTTTATCTTTATCAAAAAATTAAACATAGTCTCCTTTTTGTTACGAATCTCGAATAGATACTGAATAGGCAGCCTTTTTTTTTATTTAAAAAAAAAGTAACATTATAAAAAAAGAAATAAAGCTTGATTTTCTTTGTTTCAGATAAAAAAAATGTCTTCGAATGAATATCAGTGGCAAAGAATTACATGTGAAGAACAAATTAAATATCTCATCAATTTGCGACAACGTTTTTGTCAAGTATCAGAAAATTTTATTTTAATTGATGAATTCTATTCAAGTATTTTAGTATTTAAAACAAAATTCGAATACGATATCGTATAGTGATGCACAAGTGAGAATAAAGAAATAAAAAGGGTTAAATTGCAAAGTATCGAACAGTCAAAATAATGAGTTCTTAGAAATCACAGAAAATCTAGGTCAAAATATTGATTTCGCTTTATTGCTTGTGACGATACAAATACTTGTTGAGATGAATAGATTAATACAGTAAATAATTCTTTATCATGACGAATCGTTTGAAAGAAATGTATACCAACAAGTAATAAAAGGGAAAGCAGCTCGAATTCTCACAAAATAAGCAAAAGAGACAACATATGTATCTACATTCCGAGAGTAATGAAAAATTATCGATACTGTATTTTTCATGATTTTGACTTTCTATATTTTGCTATGAAACCGCTGAAAAATTTTTTTTCTCGAATTCTGAAAGAAAAAATTTTTTTTTTACCTCCAGTAGAATTATTTTCAAGGCGATTTAGAATTACTTGATACATCACTTGTTGAATGTATTTGCGATCTTGTTAATATTAATGAATCATTTTCGGATGAAACAAACCGTAAGTTTCTGGTTGAGCTAAAGTGTCAACAATCAATTAATACTAATGATGTATGTAATATATAAAAAAACAATTTTATGAAAATTTACTTTATCTATATAGAAATTTGATCAGTCCATGAAAAGAATTTATTTTAACCGGCGATATCGGGCTCTGATTAATAGCCGGTTAGTATTTTGAATAGTTTTCAAGTATTTCTGTTTGTTATTCAAATTTTTCATTTTAGTGAAATTTTACTTGACGACTTAAGTACATCGATAGAAGGAAATAAACTAAATCGAATGATTAAAATACGTGCTGTGTGTGTACTCGATGAAGAACTAAATCGTATTCAAGAAATTCTGACATCGAAATCAATTGAAGAACAATTAGCTATCCGTTTACATCAAATTCGTGCTATGACCAATGTTTATTTCAAACAATCGTCTCAAACATCATTTGAAGATCTTTCAGCGATGACTTTACTTGTTCATTCATGTGATTCATTGCTTTCACTATTTCGTCTATTGTTTAATAGTGCAAATTCTGATACAAGTTTTACTTCTTCATTGGATATTCAACGCGAATATAAATAAAAAGAAAATTGTCGTTTTGGTCTAAAACCGATCTATTGATAATATTTTGTTTTTGACAAAAATTCAACTGCAGTTAACAATTTTATTTACACATCAGATTAGATATTATTATCATTATTAGTCGTGGGGAGATTTCGTTTTACTTGAAATCGATAAGCTTTCTGCACATACGCTGGATTATGACGTCGATGACATTGAAAACGTAGTAAACGAGAAAAAGTCCTTCGAAATGTTCCATTGCATAGAGCATAAAGCATGGGACTAAAATTTTAAATTTAAATGTATGCTGTACACTAAAATATTTGTTCAAACTACATACTTAATCGTTGAATTAACATAACATAACATATAACCGAAACGTTCCCAATACATTGGAAAGCCACGTTCAAATATATCTGGCTTTATTGTCGATATGACTATATTTGTATTATACGGAAGCCATGTAACAATAAAAGCAATTAAAATAGCACTAGAAGAAAAAAATAGCATTTCAAAATTAACAGAAAAAGTAATCAATTTTGTCTACCTCAAAGTTTTCGCAGCTTTTTGATCTTTCATTTTTTCTAAACGATTCTTTACATTCTTAACACTGCCGTGTGTACTTGTCGAAACAGATGTTGTGAGATTTTGTGTGGCTGATTTTGAAGTTGCTGTATTGACGTCATTTCGTTTTTGTGTATTCATAGCATTTGGACATGTTTGATTGGCAATATGTACCGATTGTTGTTTTTCATCGGATGAAGATACTAGTGGATCGACACAATTCTGCTTAGGAATTGGTCGCCAATTACTATCATTTGTACAATTCGTTGGCTGAAGAGGTGGTAATGAGACTGTTGTTTGGCCACGCAATCGAGATTCAACATATTCAATATCTTTATCAATATTATTGATCAATGGTTGACGTTGCTGTTGAGATATATGATCGTCGGATGCTGATGATAACGAATGACAATAGAGACGAGTTTCATATTGAATAGATTTTTGTCGCTGTTGATGAGCTTGACTACACATAGAATTCATTGATGACGGATCATCACAACGACGAATCCATGGATCACCACATAAAATAGTTTTCGTTTTTTCGGATGAATTATGAATAGTAGCTGCACGACCGTTAATAAGATATATTTTCCCATGATTTATTGTGCCTTGAGGATCGATTAAATTTCGATCACTCATAGAATTAATTGCAGGATGAAGTTCACTTGAAAAATCATCTTCATCGAGCTCATTTTGATGTGCATCCGATTTCGTTTGATCAAAACTCCTTAGATAAGAGTAAATATCTAATTATCAATTGCTAGAGTAGTTAAATGTCATAGCTATTAACTAAGTGGCCTCTTATTTTTCTTCTTCTTTAATTGAATACCTTGTCATTTTCATCTATCGTATCTTTGTTTATCATGCAAAATTAGTTTAATAAACATAACAAAAAAAGAATGTGTGTCTGGTAAATAAACTGTTTATCTAAATCTAAATATGATTAACAATCAGTAGTGCCATTTCGATTCTAAATATCAACATGTCCAAGATTCGATTTTAGATTGTCTCTACTCGAAAAATTACTAAAAATAATATTTATTCTTTTCACTCTTTTTCAATATTCTCGCATATCAAGTTAAAAGCATAAAATAAGTTTCTATTCTGTAAAGCAATATAATCCTTATAGATACTAATGGTAGTTGCTATTTCTAGCACTTGTACTACGTATTAATAATTTTCTATATGTTATTGTTAATTACAAAAATAAACTTAACGCCTAAAACAAGATTTTTAAATCAATTTTTCGGTCATTAGAATTCTATCAGTTGCTCAGACTTTTATAAATAAATAGAAACTGTTCGATTATGTTGTGTTTGCCTGAAGTAATAATTGCATGATGAAATAAAAGTCCAATATGCAAACGAATTATATAAAAGGCATGCTGACTCTAATAGTGACGGAACGTTTTAATAAATAGCTGACATACTTTCTTTTTTTGACTGAATAAACCATGGAAAATGTTTCAGAAGATAACAAGAAAAAAAACTTTGCTCCATAGTACCAAGTGAGAGAAAAACATGAATGAAAAAGATATAAATATTAATTAATGTAGAATTCTATATTATTTTTCAGTAAAGAAAAAGAAACTCGATTCGCTAATCTACTGTTTGACAGTAATTAGTATGGAACATTGCTAATTGAGTAAAAACGATGATTTCTAAAAATAGCTCTCAAATTTCGTTCTGCTTTTGGCATTAGATGTGTCCCTATATGAATGAAATAGAGAATATTGTGTCTTCAGTATAGACGATATCTCAACATCTAGCATATGTACTATGAATATAAGCTTGTCTCTGCAAAAAAGATACATTAAAGGAGCGTAATACTTTAGAGAATAATAATTTGTTGGTCATCTTTTTATGTATTTATAGTATTCTACCTCAAACATGAATATTAATATGTAGAAAATGACGAAAAAAAGGAAATATTCATTTACCTCCGATGACAACAACAATTAAAAATGCAGTTGAATTTAGTATTTTGCAGTTTTTTCACTAATGTTAATTTATTAGCCGAAGAATTTTGTGCAGATAAAACTTTTCCATGAGAACGTGTAGAATCTGTTGAGATGCTTTCATCACGATCAGTGACGTATGTTGTTCCTACAGTACTCAAGTTTTTTACTGAACGATCATTTGAACTAACATTTGATGTTGTTGTTGGAAAATTTGGACCACGATTTTGAGCTTGTAACAGATGTAATTCTTTTCGGCGTTTAACTGTTTCACGATAGATACGAAAATAAAGCAAACACATTAACGTGACCGGCAAATAGAAGGCAGCTATTGCTGTTGGTATTGCGACTAATATCCAAGAAAAAGTAGTAAACATCTTTTTTTTTTGTGTGTTCTATTACCTGTTGCTTTTGCAGCAAATGGTAATCGACATTCACCCGGCGGGACTCTTTTATCAATATATGGCCACGCCCAAATCCACTGGAAAAAAAATCATACTCTAGTTATTCAAATTATATTTCAATCCCATAAAGGAAACGATCAACTATCTTATCATTTTTTATTACTGCTATTATATCGGTCATATCTTTTCAAATAGAAAGCACTAGTTTCATTTACTCTCTCAATTTTTAGTTTTTGCATTATGAATGTGAAACATTAACAATCTGTATAATTGAATTTCGAATGAAAATTTTGTCTACAGTGGCTATTAATCTGCCTAGAAATTTCAGTCAAAACAAATATGTTTTCTACGAGACATTTTCCTTCAATAAAAACATCTGTTTTCTTAGTTGTACTCCAGAGCAACAATGTTTCTATTGCAAGCTAATATCTAAATATGAAAAGATGTATACAAACTAAAACTATGGATTGTCGCAAATAATAATAAAGTGTAACTATGCCAAAGATTCAATGATCGGAAAATTAACAAAAACAGACTAGTTTACACTATACATTATGGCAAATTATATGACAATAGACTCAAACAAAACAGAAATGATCGAAAAATTAGAAATCTTTCCTCATCTATCTTACCGGTGTCCAAATGAGACACGAAATAATCCAAGCACAACCAATCATAATTGTTGCACGTTTTGGTGTACGTTTAGATCTATAAGTTAACGGTCGAGTTATCGCTAAGTATCGATCAAAACAAATAAGTAAAAGATTAGCAACAGATGCATTTGACATCGTATAATCAACACTTAGCCATACATCACATAGAAATGAACCAAATGGCCAACGATCTTGTTCAAAGAATGTAAAAAAAATAGGCATAGAAAAAGATCCAATAGTAAAATCAGCGACAGCCAGCGATAATAGAAAATAGTTTGTTACTGTTCGTAATTGTTTATTAACTCGAAATGAAATTAATACAAGTAAATTACCACCAGTGGTTAAAACCGATAATATTGTACCACCAACTATGATAAGAATTGTTTTATACAATGCTGCTGATGAAGTTTTATCTCCTATGGGACTTGTACAATTATTAATTAACATACACATACTATCTTCAGACATGCTAAAAAGAAAAAGAACAAATAAAAAACTAAAATACAGATTTATAAACAAAGATGATATTATCAAAACTTCATATTCTTCTAAATATGAAACCTTCTAGATAAGTCTATTGAGGCTGGATTTCTGTAGGGGTTAATCGATACTATTTATGTTAGATTTGTTTGCCTTTTTTCTTGTTTATTTTATATATGTATTCTATAATTTATACAGTAATTTGTATAATCATTTAATTCATATAAATGAATAGTTCTATCTCTTTATAGATGCATTCACGTACCTGTCTGTGTCATAAAACAAAAAGTATATAACACTAAAGATGATAACATAACGGAAGAAGAAGAAGAAGAAGAAGAAGAAGAAGAAGAGCAGACAAAACAAAATTACAATAATATACTGATTTGCATTTAGATGAATTGGCTAACGTAATCAAATCAAATTATGTTTCCATCTGATATGTTTTTCTCTTAGAACATTTCACAGAATTCTATCAACATGGATCAGATCAATTTACGTTATCGTAGCGAGAAACAAAGAAAAACTATGCCTTGAAAATAACATCAATATAAATCTGTGCTTTGTCATTGAACTAGGACAATAGTTGAATGTTTTGTTGTTTCGATTTTTGACACAACTTCATCCAACATATGGATTATAATGCGTTTCATTTGCGCAAATGAAACAGAAAAGAAATGACTTGAGAATGGAACAAAAAAAAAGAAAAATATACTACTTCTATAAGTAATTCCTTTATCAAAAGGTGTGTTAAATTTCCGTCGAAAAAACCATGATCATACCGGCTGACTTTCCTGGCCCATTTGTACAAATATCAAAACAATCAAATAGACAACTGTTGTCGCCCGTTGATTTATAGAGATTCTAGTGTACATGCCAGAGGTACCGTACGGTGGAAAACAGAAAGAGGAAATTCTCTCTATCATATAGAAAAAAAATCTTGAGTAACTATTTTTCTTTCAGTACTGTTTACTCAACAAATCTTCTCTGTCCCTAACCTTTTTTTTTATACAGACACGAACACAGGCATATATATATATATATATTTCTTTCTTAAGTAAATGGACTAATTCCCTTGTCGAAACTAAAGTTTCACATAACTAGATAGTTTTAATATATTTTAAGAAATTTTTGCAAATGTTTATTTTGGCAATTGACTTTTTTCTTTTCCTAAAGTCATCTTTAATATTATAAGTACTTTTCAATTGTTTACATTTAATATATTATCTAATGGATTTCTTTTGCTTCTATTGTTTTGTTTGTCTTTGATGATATATATATCTAAATAGAATCCTCTGTGAAGATATGTTGACAGATTTTATCAATGCCTCTCAGCTAGAAGAAGTTAATTGACATCTTGTCTATGCACAAAAATAAAATTAAAAAAAAAATGTAGAATAATCCGTGAATAATAATACAACAATAATCCATGATCAAGCTGGTAATATTATAGTTTATATGTAAAATGGTATACATTAACAGACATCTTTTTCTTAACATAAACTCACCGATTCAATGATAATAAGCATCTTGCTTTCTTTTCTAGAAGTCTATCAGCTTTTGTCTTAAGATTCGATCTATTCTGATGTTGGCTGCAAAGAACATATAGCTTCTACTTCAGACATTGTAGCGACACAGGGAAAGAGAGAGAGAGAGACATATACAAAGACGAAGAAAAAAAGAGAAGCGAAGACTATCGCATAAAAGCAGCAATATTCTTCTGAATGCCATCGCCTGAACATACTTTATTTCAGATGACGTTGTTTGATCTGCGTGACTTGATAGCGGAAATACTTTATATTAATATGTATATATATATTTCATATTGATTCGATGATGACAATGATAGGTTTTTTTCATTTTTGTGAACAACAACTCCCTTTTCAATGGGTCAAGTAGAGCTATCCCAAGTACTCAATAGGATTGTCTATTGAGCTAGAGGGCACGCTGCGTTCATCAACGAGTATATTTGCTAAGCATTTTAACGGAAAATGCTAACTCATTTAATGACTGACGTGCTTTTACTTTTCTTTTACGTTGACTCATACATATGCGTATATAAATATAGTGGCTCTATTCTCCCCCATAGAAGATCAATATTTGATATGAGGTAAAAATAGTTTTGTCACACAATATAATCGATAACTATTCAAATGATTGTTTTACGAATAAGAAAACGTATAGGAAATATAAGCGAGCATTTGTTGTAGTGTCATTTCGATTAACATTTGATTTTGAATGGAAAAAAAAATAACATCGAGCAATATGTTTTTCTTTTTCTTAATGCTAAATAAACAAATATTTCTTATATTCAACATAAGATAAACTATATTATAACTAGAGAATTAACAGTATCAGACATTCCGTCCAATGATCTATCAATTATGAACAAACACAAGGCTATAGATACTAGAGCAAAAGTCTACATTTTATCATAAAAGTATTCTATAATAATATCAATATGTTTTCTTCTGATTTACTGATAATAACGAGAAAATCATAGAGATAAATTAGGAGACCTTATGGTTTAAATCGTCTATATTATCAATGTCTCTTATGTTTATATCAAGTTTTTGTTGCCCCAACAATTAATCACTCATCAGACATCTTACTTCAGTATATCAGTGTGAATCGATCGATATCTAGTTTTAGATAAAACGAAAGAAATCATCCTCTCCTTTTTTTGCCAATGACAATCATAAATCTTAATAGAAGAAGACAAGCTGAAGGCATAGCTTGAGTGTTTCAATGCGAAATCAATGTGACAGACGAATGTAACAAAACGATTATCAAGATTTGAACCATATTGTCCAATACGATATCTCTCATACGGCTTTTCATATTTAATTGGACTCTCTCTTTTTATGCTCGATAATACATACATACCTGAAGGATTTATTGTGTGAAAAGGCAATGAAATAAGTATAATATACACGTAGTTTGCTTTGACAGGCAAGAAAAAAAATAAACAATCGATCAATAAAAATCGTTTACATGGTCATTTTTGTTAGTTTCATCATCCGTAATGACAAGTGCATCAAACGAATGTAATACGGAGATTGTTTTTTGCTTTCTGTAGATGATTAGTAAACAAATAATTGTTATTGTCCAATCATTCTGCTAGTATGATGAGAGAAGAGAAAAAAAACGTGAGAAAGTGTGAAACATAAGCAAGCAAAAGCAACGAGGAAAATATTGATCAATAGGTGACATACAAAGTCAATTTTGCTTTACACAGATTTACAAAGATAAACGTTGACAAAACAAAAAAAGAAATGACTTTGATCATATAAAGAGTTGAGCTTCTGTCTACATACCTCTACTCTGTGTATATGTGTTCGATGAAGACTTGGTGAAATGAACAAAGCGTACAGATAGGCAGATATATATATATATATATATATATATTGTTTTTCTTTCTTCTGTTGCTTTTTTTCTGTAATCTAGGAAAGATAGATAGAAGAAAATCTTTCTCAATGATATGTGTCTATTTCTAAGACATGGTTTCTTACATATTATTTTGGATACTCATTAAATCTTTCATCGAAACGCGGTTGCCATTTGTTGTTTTCCACCGATTCTACTCAAAACAATAATAAGCATAGTAAATCCGTATAATTAGATATTATTCAGCAAGATATAATCTGATTTAGAAGTTATCATATGAATTGTAGCTACATGAAAATAATATCTTAATAAAAACAAATTATCTATCATGCGGCATCTACGCTGTAATTGTACATTGTAGTTAACTAACTGATAATTTTAATTAAATACTGAAAATAAATACTAGAAAATACAAGTAAACACCTATAATGGTTGTCCAATCAATAATTGCTTTTTGGATTCTTCTTCAAAAACCTCATTACGATTTAACTCGACTTCTACTGAAGTATTGATTTGAAACAATTTTTAGAACAATATTTTAAGTTCATCATATGTTCATATTCATATGTGAATGAACCCCACGTTTATTTTTCTCTAACGCTTGTTTTCTTTTTTTATATAGATGATCCACAACACAAAATAATTTCGAACTTTGAACTGCCTAATTTTCATGAAATACAAAATAAAAGAAATGATTAAAAATGGTGGCGACCAATATAAATATCCAATTATTTGTGTAAACAAATGAAAACGATGTGATCTTTAGCTTTGACGTCATAGGACGATCGAAACGAAGAACTGCAGCTCTTCTATCTGTGTTTATTAACACAGCGTAATTTTTTTCCGGTAATTTTGCATCGTGTATGAAAAATCTACATGATTTTTGTTCCTTTTTCTTCTCTAGTAACTCTAGACTCTTACAACAGAAAACACGTTGATTGTTAGATTTAAAATAAAAATATCTAATTGATGACGCCATTGGCACTGTAGCGCATATCTATTTTTTTGCATCACAAAAAAAGTAAATGATGATCATATACATTGACATCAAATGAAAAAATGTTATTCATAGGATATTCATTTTAATGCGCACTGAGAACTTGTGACTGTACGATCAAACACGTATGCAGGTACCTTTACCTGTTCTGATAAAAATCAAATAATCATATTTCGACAAAAATTATTCTTCTCCTTTTCTTTTTGTATGCGTTTATATAGATTATTCACTGGATATTATATTCCTAAATATTGAAATTATTCGTAGTTATTTTAGAAAAATAGTCATAAATCAAATAAATTTGGTGCAAATCAATGATAGGGATCAGAAAACTTAAAAGACACTGATTAGCTTCAATATTTTTTTCACCATTGACTGAATGAAGAAAAAAACAAGAAAATATACATCAATCAATGTCATCACAAAAAAAGAAGAAAGTTGTTGTTTTGCTAAAGAGGCGCCTATTGTCAAATAATCATTTCAAAGTGCAATGTATGATAACGAAAATATGAAAAAGGATCTTATCTTGTCGTTGGCATCATCTTCAAACTGAAAAATGAATAAAAAAATTTAAAAGCTAGTATTTTCGATCGTTTAATAATGATAATATTGATGAATTATTCTATAAAACATTTCTCTATTATTGTTTATTAAAAATATTGAAAGAATAGCAAAGAGACGCACGCAAACATTACATAGAAAGAAATGTTGAATCGAAAAAAAACGAGTTTATCTAGCATCAATTGATAGATTGATTGGTCTTCTATTTACTTGCCAGTTTTTGAAACACAAGGAAACCACCAACAACACCAACAACGAGACCGGCAACAACAAAACCTACCCAGAGTCCAGTTATTTTTGAACCTGAAGTTTTTACTTTAGTTTTTGAACTTCGATGATTAACATTCAGTGAGCCAACGCGTGCACGTAAAACAACTTGTTTTGTATCATATCGAGCACGAAAAGCAAGACCACTGGCATCGATTATTGATGAAAGACGATCGATAACGTTATCCAATGATGATTCTTTTAATGGATTCTCAACAGGTCCAGTGCGCGGTGGCGCATCAAGTAATGTAAATGTAACTAAAATTCCCGTATCCCTATGATCAACATTTAAATGTGAAATACGTATCGGTCGAACAAACATAGAAAAAATGAGTGTTTCCCATATGTGAAGACGTAAAAAGTTTATATTTTGCATTACCGGGTACTTTTTTTCATTGTCGATTGTAAATGACAAAACTGCAAGATTGTAATTTTCTAGAGAAAAAAAGAGCAGTCATAGTTGAAAACTATCTACACTTATTGAACTAATCTTTTTTTTACCAGAGGGACCCAAAGCACGATAGCAGTTAGCTAATGTATAATCAACTTCAAATATTGTCATGGGACGACGGCGAAAATTGAAAATATCTTTGAACAAGAAAAACAAAATAATGTTCATAACTATATGTATAGTTTACAAGTGAACTTTTCATACTTAATTCAATATTCATTACTGGAACTTCAGATACGTATCTTTTTATGACCAATTTTGAAGGAATCCAGTCGGTTAATACTTCACCATTAACACGTGTTGCCCAATACCATTCTCGATGTTCAACTGTATCGTTTCCCAATGATTTTTCACCAATCCATACATGACACGAGACTCGATCTCGACATCGTTTTTCACCAGTATATTGATATTCCATATCATCGAGTAAAAATATATGTTGAGGATTACCCAACTGAAGTAGACTGGGATTGCCATCAACGGATACAGCCTCATTTCCACCTGTATTAAGATCACGAACTGCGCATCGATAATTTGAATGATTGAATTGATAACTAAGACCAACAGCAAAATCATGAACTTCAGTCAGATGAAACCAAAGTGGTCCACCTGCTGGATCAGCATACCAAACATCAAAAAGAGTAAATTGAAAATTAGTATCAAAAAAGTTCTTTGAACTAAGTATAGAACTATTGAAATTCGGTATAAACATTTCTGTATTAGCACTCGATGATTCTGGAATATTTGTTGGTACAGGTAATGTTGGCGTTCGATTAGGACAATATACACCGGCTGGTGTTTCTAATGCTTGACGTTCTTCAAATTGGCGTGGATTAGGTGAATAATGGAAAATGTTGTAGACAAAGGATTCACGACCTCCACGTGGACTTGTTGTAGTTACTTCGATTTGTAAAGGAATACTTTCATTGGCTGGTAAGTAAGCTTGAAATTTGGTAGGATCTGATACATGATAGGTAGCTGATACTGTTGCTTGAGTATCACTAACCAAGAAACATGATTTAAATCGATTGGTAGGTATACCACGTAATTTGCCATCACCATCATAGTGAACACCCCAGGCAGTATTTTGTTGATTACGTGGATCATAGCCGAGAAGTATTGATGGTTTAACAAAGAGAGTTTTAGGTGTAATAACACTTGTTTCGCTTTGATCAGTAATTGGTTCTCGAAAACATTTCAGTACTTCTTGTTGACCGATAACAGCAGTTAATACTTGAAATAGTTCACTAGTTGCAAAACTATAGTAGAACTGTATTGGACCTACGAATAAAAGACAAATATAAAAACAGATCTAACAAGATTTTATAATAGATAGTAAGTTACCTCTAGTAGTACTACTTATAATAGCATCTCGTGTTGTAGAGAAAGCTTGTGATAACTCCCAAACTTCACTTTCAGAAACTAATTCGGTCACTATTTCAAATCGAGGTGGTACAGGGCGCCATTTCGGGTCCTGTGTATTTGAAGTTGGTCCATCGGGACATAATCCATAATCGAATTGTCCATGAGTTGTACTAATAAAAATGCAAGCTATAGCTAGCAGATACGCTGGTAGACAAAACATTCTTCTGCTAGATTCGTCTTATTTAAGATAGTCAAAATAAGCGCACCACTAAATGTTTTAACAATAATAAAGATTTCAGTTAGAGAAGTTTTATGATAAGAAGAAAAAAAAAGAAAGATACTTGTTTGTTCGTATTATCTTTTGAAAGTGCAACACTTTTTAAGTAACAACACATTTTTTTCCGCATAGAAGGTAGTCTTTTTACTAAGAAAAGACGTCCGATATCGATTGTTATCTATATAGCAACATCTTTTTTCATCACATTGCTTGTCACTTGTTGTTTGTCTTGTTTTCTTCTTGCATACCTATTTACATATAGTCAAACAGAAAATAAGAAAAAGAAACTGAATGCATCGTGTATTTAAACAAGATAAAAATGCATTTAAACATTGACCTTGAATTTTGAAAACACTAATATCACTTATGCAACACTACTAAATGTAGTCTTTTTCTTTTTTCATGGTGTTTGATAATGCTTATTGTGCATATTATAGTGTATATCAAAAACAAAATGCATAATAATCTTAATTGACGTACACCTGTTTTAGTAATATGATTATCTACGTCTTTGTATGTTATTCATTATATCCTTGGCCTAATATTTGGCGACCTCGAGATTATACTCTATCTTCATGTGAGCAATAAGATCTGTTCTATGTAGTAGAGCAGATGGATCGTAGAAATAAGGAAAAAAAAAATAACGGATATTCTATGTTCTGTTTTCTTCCTCTTTTCTCCTGTGTTTTAGCAAAGAGAAAACGATGTTTTTTTCCCGATGGATATGATGGGAAACGAGAATAAATGCTTATTTCTGCAATATAATGTATATATAAGAATTCTGCTAGAAGAGAAAAAAAGAAACCTATTTGTCAGTCATTTAGTTGCTTGGAAAAACGAAGAAAAAAATGTATGCTCCTCGTGCAAAATTTGAGCGTATCTATATTGTTTCACCAGTAAAAGTTGCAATTATATTTTTAACATTACTTCATTGTCTTTTTATCTTAATTGCTTCATTAACATCATTTTGGATTAGAACTTCATATGGTCATTATGGACCATTATACAGTTGTGAGAAACGACTTGATTGGACAAAATCTTCAACATATCCTATATCGATAAAATGTGGTCTGGGTCAATTTTTTAATGATAAAAATCTATATTGGATGCCAGTAACAGCTGTATTAGCAATACTTTCATTTTTAATGGCGTTTATTTCAATTATTCTAGCAACTTCATCTTTTGTGAAAAATTCATTTACAGTTCGTCGTCGTTATTGGCTATGTACAATCATTTTATTACTATTCGTTTTTTTAGTTGATTTCTTTCTAATATTATTTATTCCATTGAATCATCGCCACCAAGTTTATCATCTTCAATGGGCATATGGTGTACATTGCGGTGCAACATTATTTATTTCAGTATCCTTAATAGCAGCTATACTGACACACAATACTGATGATATTCAATATGTGGAAGCAATAGATGAATCGTCAATTGATAAATAAATAAGAAAAAAGAGAGAAACAACCAATATAAAAAAAAGCATGCGCAAATTTTCGGGTGTTCGTTCTTTTCTTTCTAATTTTTGTAGCATTATATTTTCCTTTTTTTTGTTTGAAATTCTTTTAACGCTTGTTGACAAACTTCAGTCATTATTCGTGTTCGATCAACATCAGGAACATTATGGATTTTTAATGTATTTCGTACAGCATTAAGATTTCTAAAATAATACAAAAGAAAATATTTTAAAAATGAAATGCCGGTAGTTGTCTTTTTCCTCTCTCTCTCTCTCTCTCTCTCAATAATGAACAAACCTTAATAAAAGAAACATTGTTTTTGGCATTTGCTTAAGAATATGAAATAATGCAATACGTTTCTTATCCATTAATTCTCGATAATCTCTTTTTAATTCTGCACGTTGTTCATTTGTCATATCAGTTATATATTCATCTTCGTTGGGCATTTCAAATTTTCTACTTTTCAAAGCAATCATTTGTAATTCACGGGGTAATGGATCCCAATCGCTTGCATATGATGGGATTATATATTTTTCAGTATCGGGTAATGGTTTCATTGTAACTAATGTACAAAATAATTCATAATCTTTTTGCGGGGCACCTAAAGCAGTGGCTGTTTGTCTCATTTCTATATGATCATTATTTACAGTTGCCATCCATAAGTCGCAAAGAATTTTTCGTTCTTCACTTAGTAGATTTTCATAAAGACCATGATCAAGAAGAATAATTTCTGCTTGTGGAGAACCTTTTGATTTTTTATTTTTATTCACACGAACATGAACATTACCAGGATGAGGATCAGCATGTACAAAGCCAGTACGAAAGATTTGTTCGGCAAATAAACGAATTAATTTTTCATCAATCTATAATTGATTCGTATGAGTTCATCAAATAGAAATACGAGCATCTCAAACTAATAAACTAACTATTAATTAATTTTTAAATAATTAGCCAAATAAAAATGCGAATATTTTCTATAGACATCTATCGCAACAATTGATTTCGTTCTATTTCGCACTAAATGGTTCATTTGTACTATATGTATCTAAATCGAGATCCGATTTCAGAATGATTTCATATATTATGACGTATTTTGAAAGAGTTTGGCTTTCATGTTATACTAACTACAATTCAAGAATATGATATACTATTTCTATGCCGCGTAATATATGATAATTGTAAGATCTACTGAAGTTTTCCTCGTTCACAAAGGAACCAAACCAAGCCACGCTATACTTTTTAATCCCAGAAAAATGTTATATGCACGTACATCATGTAATCTAAATTTTCAAGATAGTCCGAGGTATTAGTTAAATATTCTCCCTACAAGCTTTATCACATCTAGCAAGAACAACGATAGCTCTATCCTGTTAAACTTTTAATTTTCAATAACGAAAATTAATATACAGTGATAAAAACTATTAGCAGCATTAGTTCGTGTTAAACAATATGTTGTAATTAAGCTATCTTCATCTTAGACGAAATGATTTTGATAAGAGTAAGATAGAACGCATTTATAGACAAGTAAATAACAGCTAGCACGACGTATATGTCTGTTCTATCAAGGTCCATAACAAAAGGCATTATCTTTCACAATTCATGGAAAGATAATTCTATTTGCCTATTACAGATTATAAAACAAAATATGAGCTTACATCTTTTAACGATAGATTATGTTTTTTCAATTCATCTACACGATCGATTGTGATACCTTCGACAAATTCATAAGTTAGAATACGCTATAAAAGAAAACGCATAATATTAAATCATTAGAATAAATTTATTGAATAAAATCGAATATCTACCTTTTTGGTTAAATTCCAATGAACTTTCGGTACATAAACATAATCTAAATGTCTAACAGATCCACGAGAACGTTCTGCATTTCTTGCTTCATGAAGAAAATCTAAATAATGAAAAATGAATAAAAATAATATATTTTTCTTCTCTACAATACAAATAGTTACCTAATTCTAATGTCAAATCATCATGCAATTCCTAATTTAATGTACGTACAAGTATTAGTTTTTATTTCCACAAACTTACATCTAACATCCAGGCCTTGAAAAAAAAAGAATAAACAATAAAGACCATCTAAATTTATTTTTATTTTTATTACCAAAGTCCAATTTGGATTAAACCATTCGAAAAAATGAAATAACATTCTCATCGAAAAAACAAAAGAAAAAATTCAATTGTGAAAATGTAAAGAATCTCTAGTTTAAAAAAAATTTATCTACCGTGGTAATGTCAGTTTCATAACGTTCACGTAAATCAAAATATTGCACTTTGACAGCCACTTTTTCTCCAGATTTTATCTGAGCTTCATAGACTTCAGCTAATGAAGCTGCTGCTATAGGATTGCGATTAAAATTTTCAAAAACAACTTCTGGTGGACCATGAAAATACCGTTTAAATAACGTATCAATCTAATGAATAAGTGTTATGCGGATTAAAAAAAAATAGTGCAAATATTTACTTCTCCCTTTTCTCGACGAAGAGCATGTTCCTATTAAATAATACATTTATATTATAAAAAATAATCGAAAGTCTTCTATAAACTTACTTCAAGAATTTGTAATTCTTCATAATATTCTAATGGTACTACTTCCGGTAGATTTATCTAGAGAAATAAATTGTTTCTATTAACATTTTCCAAATGAAACATTAAGAAATCTGCTATCATTTGATATTTTCTTCTGATTAAATTCAATATGTTATTTGTTTTTTTTTATCTCTTAAAATTTAATTACATTCTCCAGAAGATTGAAAACAAAATGAAAAATATACATACAAATGCTTGACCAATTTTGACATAGACACCACCAGCATCAATGCAAAGATTAACAAAACGTTTAGCATTTCGACGTCGACATTCGTGTAGTGCTGCAATATATTCATCGCTACCCTGAAAAGTATTAACATTTTCTAGCTAATATCCGATTTGAAATGTTTGCTTTTACTTCACGTTTAAATAATGTACTAATTTGTTGATCCAAAACGGATTGTATACCCACTAGAACTGCTCTAAAATATCCAACAACATCGATAAAATAATTTCAAATAACTATCTTTACCGAGCGGCTCTTCCAATACTTTCTACAATAATCCTATGCTTTCGTCGTGTTTCATATTTTGTTGATAAACGATAGAATAAAGCACTTGACAGTGGAACACCAAGAAGTAAAACATATCGTTTAATCGCGAAACGATGTGTTGGTGTGTTCAATTGTGTTTGACTATTGGTTGTTAAATAACGAGACAAAAATTGTGACTTATTTTTGCATATTGGTAATTCTTGTTTATATAAACTTAACAGTCGAAAAGCTATACAACGAGAATTCATTTTAGGATTATTATCTAAAACTAGCTTTAGAAGTTGTCGTCGAGAAATTACGTACAGTAGAAGATGTCAGATGTATGAGAGTATCGTAACTGATACCCTCTTTTTACGTTCTCGGTGATTAGGTGCAAAATAATTGATAGGTGTCCTCTAATAGATATCATTACTTACCTGTAAGCCTCCCGTCGAGAAGAAATAGGAAATACACGAAGATAAACATATGTTTTGTTTGAGTAATGCAATATCGGTAGCCAGTAAAACAACTTTGAAAGCAGATGACGCTAAGAATCAATAATATCAAGGAAAACCACATCTATTTGTCGGTTTGTCCACGTCACGCGCTACTTCGCTGGCCAAGTTTTTTTAAATGTTTTTTTCGATATGGACAGATCTAAGCGTATTTTTTGGTACAATTTTTTACGCTGAATATGAGTTTGAACTTTCTTCCTTAAAAAAATTGAGTTTTGGCATCGAAAACCGCGTTTTAAAGTTTTCAAAAATCGTATTTTCAATTTTCTAACCAAGAAATTTAAAACAGAAATGCAGAGTAATGCACCATTCGATGTAGAATTTGATTCTCTACAAAATGGTCTATTAAGTTTTTGCTCTCATTCTTCAGGGCAACTTCTAAGCTCTTGTACACTTTCTAAATTACTGTACAATTATTGAGCTTCTATTTCAATGAAGCCACTTGACTCTTTTTTTTATAGAAGGTTATTTGTACGGCATTGATCAATATACATTAAACGTTAAATATTTCTAAGCATGTGAAGTGCTTCAAATTTGGTCGACAAAAAAACGCGTCACAGCGTTACGTTTGTTTTTTGCATTCTTTTATCGGAGCGAAAATAGTTTAGAAAAAATATTTTTTACTGCTTGAAAGCTCATTCAATTCTCTACAAAACTAGTACCATAAGCATTTAATTTGAAGAAATAATTTGTCAGAAAATTTGAGTTTTATAAACAGCCCTAGAGAAAAAGGGTCCTTTTTGTCAGAATGTTACGCGATGATAAAACCTTTCTAGAAACGCGAGGCTTCAATCAAACTAGGTCTTTTTTTGCAACATAAATAGATTATGATGAGCTGCGTTGAATGATGTTTGAACGACCGTGCTAGTTCTTATGCCTTTCGAGATAATTGCAAAACAAATTGCCAAAATGTCACAGCTTTACGTGTCGACAAGCCGCTGGATATGCAGGTGTTCGCCATCGATTTTTCTCATCGACAGTTTGTAGTAAACGATTTTTTAAATAGAACCATGATCCGATTCGAAATATGATTGATGCAGTTCATCTCGATTTACATTAGACTTGCCGATATCCTAGCTATGGCAGGTAAGTCGCTTCAATGAAACTGTTAATCATCTGAATAGAGTTGAAAAATTATTAATAAAAAGAAATTTATCTTGAGAGTTTGCTTTAACAAAGCTAATTCGTAAATAAGTACTTACTTTAGATTTCCGATGATAAATAGTTTCTTCTCGGCTTTGAAATATTGTGAATATCATACCGTTAAGAAAAAAATAACAAGACCGATATCATCATTAAGGACTGAACAAAAAAATACATAATTACAATTATCGCCTACACTATTTATAGCTCTTGCTAAGATAATTGCAATGACAATAGTTCTTGAAATTAACAACACTTCATTGGTGATAAAAGGCTCAAAGTAAACAAGTGTCAAAACTTAAGTGATATGAAAGCTCAAGCGCCCAGAAAAAATAACAATATAGTCTTATTTTTTAGTAAAGACTATACATTCACCTCTGAAAGTGTAGTGTTATGATGCAGTAATAGATCTTGCAATGCCATCAGGGAAATACCAATTTCCTCAATTGAATATGCATCAATAGATAACAGTATTCTCTATCCAGATTTTTAAAAAAACGTTCAAAAGAATTTGTGGTTGCCCAATAGAGTGTGTAGCATAAGAATAATGTGAAAGAATTGATCAGACAAAGCTACTGACAACATTACTAAGATTGACTAATACCGTCTCAATTTTGGTGTTGTAAATTTTTCAAGGCATTCTTAAAAAAAAGAAAGAGGGCTTATAACATCATGAAACGTAACTGAAATGACATGACTGTAAAGATTGAGAGATTCAATCACGATGTTAGTACATCAAATATTGACTATCACTCTATTTTCTTGAAATTCATCGATTTCTTCAGTTTCCAATGTCCGAAATCATTTTTTTTTCACCCGAAAAAAAGTACATAGATTTACAAAGATGCTTAGGAATATCGTAGTTGCAGTTATCTTAAAACTAGAACGTTTACGAAAGAAAATTTTGATAACTGTACTAAATCAAATTAACTAATAATTTTTTCAGGCTATGTCAAAAGGAAAAAGTTTCGGGAAGTACAAGAAGATAATATTTTCAAGAGTTATTCGTTCATGAACGAATAAATTGTCATTGAATGATGTGGTTTTATAAATTTTCGAGTTTTTAATTGAAAAGAAATCAAATTCCAATTGAAAAGTAGAGTTTTAAAACGCATGGTGAATCAAATCTATTATCCCTTGTGACAAGTGCGCCATTGTACAAATATCGGATCATTGAAAGGAATAAATCTTGTTTTCTACTTTCGTAGAGAGATCCTTCTGTATCAGAGAGCAATATTTTTCACTGAAATGGTTTCAGTTTGATTATTTACAATTGTTATTTTTTTTGATAAATTTAGAAAAAGAAATACCCATCATTGTTCTCATTTCTTTTGCTGACGTAGAAAAACATTCATGAAATATATATGTGACAATATTCACACTTAGTTTTAAATTCAATAGAAATATTGAAAACAAATACTGTCTTTGCTTTGTCTTGCTTTCAAAATAAATATGAAAAAAAGGAGGCAAATACAATAAAATAGAATTTTCTTTATATTTAAAATATTTAAGCGTAATTTATTATGTGGCACTTATTAAGCAAAAGCATAAAATATAAATTGCGTGAAAGAATAAAGAAAATAATAAAGTTTGTTCTTCTTAATGACCCTAACGTTTTTCATCATCTATTTTCATTTCCTTCTTATTTTTACTATTTACTGATGTTGGTTCTGGTTTATCTCGAATATTGTTTATCCATGTTTCATCATTGTAATCACATGGAACAACAGTACTATTCGATTTTGTTTCATCATTTAACCGCTTGATATTATTTTGAATTGGTGGTGTTTGGGCTTGATTCGATGAATCGTATTCAAAATTTGCATATCGTGTACGATCTTCATCGATTTGATCGTCGTCAGTTGCAATAATACCAAGTTTATTTGCACACCAATGAAATTTATCAACAATACCTTCTTTGATTAAATCAAAACACATTGCTAAGATTGCCAAACCAAATAAAATATAAATGCAAGCAAGCAAAAAACGGACACCGGCTCCTGAACTGGACGTTACACCGGGCACCTGAAATTATCATATTCATAGAAAGAAAAATTGCCTGTACATATTACATACGTAATCACCAAAGCCAATGGTTGATAAAGTAATATAACAAAAATAAACTGATTCAATCATTGTCCAACCTTCAAATTTACTAAACATAACTGCGCCTAAATAAATATAACCAATAATGATTAAAATAACTGCTCCAAATGGTACACGACTTTCCATTCGACTCCATATGTCATCTTTATCATCATCATCATCATCATCATCGTAGTCGTCACAATCATTTTCATCTTCATCACTCAATTTTCCAGCAGTACGACGATTCGCTTCTGGCCAACATGGATCAATGGTTGGTGCACCTGTGTAATCAATTCCATGTGAATCTTGTAGTTTACTCAGACGACTTTGACGGTTGACACGACGACGATTGCGTGTATAAATTCGACATGCACAACAAAAGCAATGAAGCAAACCCGAATACATAAACCGAAATATATCACCGAGTACTGAGCTTATGTTTGACAAACAAAGAAGAAATATTGGTATACCAATTAATGCATAGCAAATACACGTTATTTGTCCTTCCCTTTAGAAGAATAAATATAATGATTTTTTATGATTCTTATTTGTTTTCTTCACTTACCACGATGTTGGCGTTATATGTCCATAACCAATCGATGTTATAACAGTTATTGTAAAAAGTAAAGCTGAAGTGTAACTCCAACCTGATGTATTCGCACAATTTTGTCCTGAATAACGTAATGTCGTTCGACGTGAATAAATTTCATCCGTAAAATTAGTTAAATAATAAGTAATTTTTGTATACAAGACTGTTGTATTGTCATTTTGAAGAGCAACATCGTTATAGATTGTTTCCGAAAGATTTAAAATTGAAATATTTTCACTTACTTTATATAGTAGAAAATAGAGAATTTAAAAAATTAAAAAATTAAAAATACTCACAATTGCCTTGTTGACAATTTTGTAATTCAATATATTGTTCGAGTAAGATAAAAAGAAAAGCTCCAGCAGCACTATATGCGAAAACAACAATAACTAAGCCAAGATTTGAAAAAAGAAATTGAACAAATGAACGATAGAATGATCGACGTCGAACATTATTTGAAGCTACTGGTGCGACAAGTGTCGTTGTTCGATCAGTTGGCATTTTGTATTAGATTATTTTCTTTCGTTCAAATAAACGAGCAATGAATGAATATATGGGAAAAGAGCAAAATGATAAAGTGAGTTATATAGATTGCTTAAGTAAAGTAAATGACTGCGAGTGAACGTCGAGAATAAAAAGGAAATAAATAACATGTAGCTAATTGAGTGAAAAGAAAAATAAAAGAAGAAAAAAGGTAATGGAAAAAAGTGAATGACATTAATGAATATTTTTTTTCCTATTTACTGGAAATAGAAAGAGAATGTTCAAAAAGAAAGTCTGATAATCACTGGTCATTTTCAACAATTATCTGAATTGCAGATGAAGAGTAAAACTATTTTTGAAAAAAAAACAAAAAATAACAACTAGCAAATTTATCAGTTATTTTTGTTCGAAAAAAGATTCCGCGGTGTAGATGAGATGACCATATAGATATTCAAAAAGAAAATAAATACATTCACATGTTTATCCTTTCCAACACAAATTTTTTCATTATATACAGTTTGAAATTGATAAACTAGTTGATATTTCCTTTTTTCTCGAGTCATACTTTTTGAATCTGTTCTGTAGAAATTCTTTTTTTAATAGCTTTTGTGTTAGTAAATTCTTTTTTCTCTTCATGTTTTATTCTTCATCATCTCTAGGTTTTTTTTGCTCATTCATTCATATAGCAGAAGCAAACGAGAAAAAAAGCAAATATAAAAATGCGTGATGATAGAAATGATAATTGATGCGAGTTGTTAAATGAATATTTTTCCTAGACACAAAGTTAAGAACAATAGACATAAAAGACACACAAAAACGTTTTTGGTGTATTCAATGTTTCTTTTTTTTTGTTTTTTGGTTTTAACATTGAGAAAAACCAACAAATAAAAACGTAAACACAAGAATAGTGACCAGAGAAAATGAATAAGTTCAAAGAATAAAACGGAAAAGAAAAGAAAACCAACAAACAAACAAACAAACAAACAAAAAAGCGATGCTGATGGTTGTGTTTTGCAACTTTTGGTTAATAATTTTGTCTTGTTTAAGAAACTGTATTGTTTTTGTCTTGATAATTTTTAGACTGATGATTGACCGGGATCTTGTCCATCACCTTCATTGTCATTCTGAAAAGGAAAATTGAAATTTTATTTAAGATATTTTCATCCTTAAAACTAGATTAATTTCAGAAGAAAAAGACTTACACCATAATATGGATCAGCATAATTTCCTTGACGAGCTCCTCGAAAGAATCGGCCACGACCACGTCCACGACCTCGGCCACGGCCTCGACCTCCATTTTGACCATGGAAACCTAAAGAACATGATAAATATTTTGTTTAGTCTTGAACCCTTTTTTGAATATAATTTCTAAAAATTAGAAATAAAAACAACTTACCACCATTGAATGGCGGACCCATTTGACCTGGCATAGGACCCATTGGCCCTCCCATCATTGGACCACCGGGACCATGAAAAGTACGTGGTCCTCGACCTTAAAAGAAAACAAAAAATAAGAGAATAGAGTTAATTTTGCTCTTCATATTGATATTTACCTGAAAAATTTCCATGAAATTCATAGCCACCACGGAATGGTGGTCGACTACGACCTAAATAGATTGGAATATTTCATTCAACCTAAAAACATTAAAAGAATGATCATACCTCGAAACATAGGGCCACCGAAGTCACGAGGTGGTCGACCTAATGGTGGTCCTCCTATCATAGGTGGTGGTAGTTGTGGATGTGGTGGACCATAATTGTTGAATCGATGATTGTAACCTGGATCATAACCACGTGGATCTAAATCAGAGTTCATGAGACTATTTTACAGATGTGTTCGTTAACATACTACCACGGAAAGGTCCTCCTCGACCACGGAATGGAAATCGACCTCCACCACGTCCTCGTCGAAAATTACCATGTGTTTCATATTGTTTTCGATCAGCTGCGAATTTCGAACCTTTCACACATTCTCCATTAGGACCTGTTACATTTGCAGCTTCGTGACCTTTTTCTCCTGAATAGAAAACAGTTTATTTTCTAATAGAAACAAATTCATGTTGAATGATTCTACCTTCAACAATATCGAATTCGACAATCTCTCCATCGTCAACACTACGCAAGTATTTTTGTGGATTATTCTTAATAATAGCCGTTTGATGAACAAAAATGTCTTCTTTTTTATCACCACTAAAATATTGAAAGATTGATGTTTAACAATTTTGATTATTATATTCAAAGAATACCGTTCAATAAAACCATAGCCACTTTTAACATTGAACCATTTAACTGTACCAGTGACCTTTGTTGCTAAACAACGAAATTATGTAATTTCACATTAAAAAAAATGAATAATACAAAAAAGCAAAAATTTTAAAACTTTTTAAAACTTTAACTATAATAAAACGCTTTATCTAACAAATTCTCTTTCTTTCTTTATACTTCATGTTTTTCTTCTTTAAACTACACATAAAACGATGATAACAACAACGAAAAATAAATGAAAAAATACTTACCAATGACAGTTTTACCATTGATTTGTCTGGAATTATCAGTGCCCGAATCGGCTTGATCTTGTTGTTTATTTATATTAGCATCAGATTTTTGATCTGATACTTGATTTACTGCCGTGTCTGCTGACGCCATGTTACCCTGACTAATTAATTGATTTGTTTATTTATTTATAAATAAAAGCGCGTTGGTTCACGATAGTAATGGTTTATTATACTCGTTTGTGCTGTTGTTGCGCTGGATGTTAATCTTAGTTGAAAAACGCTCAGGCGCGTATGATGGTGATGGTGAATGGGCTTTTGCTGCTCTTATTCTAACGCATTTGAATGACGAATGATTAGTCCATTTTGTAGGTAGCAAAAACATGCGTCGAACACAAAAATAGAAAGTAGAAGAACAGAGAGTGAATAAGAGAAAGTAAATCTTTTTTTTACTCTCTTTCTTGCATACGAACCTTTCGCGTTGTGTCGTTGTTCGCGCGTATTCGTTGCGTGATACATGTACATTAAAAAAAAAAACATGAAATCAAGAACATGATGAGAGAGAGAGAGAAAGAACGAAAGAAGAATAATAGAAAGCAGTAACAAATACACATAGTTACCATGATAATAATATAAGGAGAACGAACTGGAATTATTGTGGACTCGATACGACAGTGTAATATTGTACAAACATGATGTTCGTTGTCCAGGGATTGAAAGTAGAAGAGCATTTAGTTTAAATGTATACGCACAGAGAAGAAATAATATTGAAAAAAATACGTTTCGCGCATGGCTATTACATTATATAGCTGTTCGAAATCGAATTTATTTGTTTGTCTTCTAAATTTGTTATCTAGGGCTCAGTTTAATCGATAGACACATGCCTCTGAATAGTAAATTCATTAATAACGTGTTATATGTATACAGTTCTATACGATGTTTAGTCGGAATTTTTTCATGATTTACTGTATAAAATAATAATTATTTTTATTCAAATATTTACTCTGTCGTAATTTTATTTTTAAGACAAAAAAAATACAATAACTAGTTTATGTAGCAATAAATTTATCGAATTCTTTCAATGTAGATGAAGCACCACGTATGAAAAACGTTGCTATTGCTATTTGATTAACTATTTCTGTTCTAATACCATTGACAATTGCATCCGTAATACCCGGAAAACCCAATGTAGCATATGTACTAGTTTTAGATGGTGCATAAATAATATGTCTTAAATAACCAAATGAAAAATAAACATGAAACGATAAGAAAATACTATACTGATTTACTTCATGTCAGAATCATTTGGACCTTGCCCTAAAGGATTCAGAAATGCTCGCTCTAATTGTAATAACTGATCGTTATATAAACGAATTTCATATGGACTAAACAGAACAATAATTGATGATGCCTTTTTTTATTCTTATAATTAGTTAATTTATAAAATTTACTTTTCTATATCCATTGATTTCGATCGTTCAACAAATTCATTTGCAACCTGACTAAACTCATTGATAGCATCTCGAAGTGGATCTAAGAGAAAATGTTTTCTTAGTTGTGTCACAAGAATCTAACAATAATTATCTCGTTACCAAGGTCATTAGGATTGGATGTGTTGAGACTGTTTACTATTTCTTTAAGAGTGAATGCATACCGACTAATATTCAATGGTAAAATAGGACTTTCTGAAAGAATTAACGCCAGAACTCCTGTCAACTGGCCCATACTTTGATGTGCCTAAAATAGTTTTGTAAAGAAAAATAACATGATATAAAAGTAAATAAATATTTTACAAGAAAATCCGGATCAATAAATTTTTTCACCAACGAAAATACTTCATAAGATGTGTGATAGAGTGCATATGAACTTAAATTTTTATGTTCAGCTCGATTGAAAGTATAGGTTGCATCATAGTTTGATGAGCCAACTATTTGATCAAAACCAAAGTAATCACTAGCTGATCCAAGACCAAATGCTATTCTACACAAAAATGCTTGTGATTATCATATGAAATAGACTTTTACATCTTTTGTTTTCTCTATGTATATATTACTTTGGTTCATTAGTTATATCGTTTCGATGAACTTTCATCCATTTATCATACACAGTTTGTCCATCGGGATCATAGGCACTTGGAACCTGCATTATTGAATGAAAGAAACCAAAGCATATTTATGACATATAAAATATATGTTCACCATTTTAGCTGCTTTGACAATAGCGTCAAATAATACTGGAGAAGACTTGATATTAACGTAGTAAGCTCCTGATAAGATAATATATTAAAGAATTCGTCGGCCGATATTCGGAACAAAAAGAAAACTACCATTAACAGCAATGTCCAAATTCATGTAAGAAACAATACGGGCTCCTAATACTTTAACATATTCCTAATAAGTAAGATAAATGTACAGATCAGAAAATGAAATATTTAATTGATAAAAGCATATACCTGAATATATTCTATCGATCCTATCAGTCCATATTCTTCAGCACCCCACGAACAAAACATCAGGCTACGCCGTGGACGGAATCCTAGGAACAGTGAACGTCAATTCTGTGTTATATCAATAACATCCAAGCAACAAGAATTACCATTTTTATACATTTCACCAAGTACTCGCGTAATTTCTAGCATTGTAGCAGTTCCACTTGTAGGATCGACAGAGCCTAAACTCCAAGCATCCCTACGAAGAAAAACAATATGATCATCTTCGAGGCACTTGTAACACTATATAAATTCACGATGACTGATGTGTGTGCAGTAAAACAAGGAAAAGTTGATTTTGTATCGATACAGACATCTTTAAATACGTAGTTAACTGAAATAAATCATCGTTGATTCAAAATAATTCATTTTTTCGTATGCATTAAAAACGTAGTTCTAACTTGAAAGTTTTTTAGAAACTATATATTCAACCAGGAAAACATTTCATAAATTCGACAACTATAATACTAATCATTGCCATGATTTACTCACCGGTGATTACCGATTACAATATAACGATCTTAGAAAACAAAAACAGTGCTACATTTCATTAGTGTTGAAGCTGAAGCTGTATATACCTGGTTCAATTTCTCCTTTCATGATTCCAATTACATTGTAAGTATCTCTTCTTTCGAGGCGATTGAATGATTTTACTTCAATCGACCTACAGAAATATTGAAATTTAGCTACGCGAGATTATAAAATCAACTCATCTTACGATGTATTAAGCAGTTCTCCACCATATCGATACACTACATTCGATAAAATTCCACGCCAGTTTGCAGGCACTTCATTACCCCCTAGATATCTAAATTCCACGACTTTCATTATCGACTACTGGTAAAAAAATAGAATCTCTCACTTTAGAATAACTTGTGCTTCACCATAACCAATCGGTTGAGCAGGAATTCTCGGTAGAAATGGAGCAGCCTTCTCTTCCAATCTACCCATGAAATCTATAGTNTATCGATACGCTACATTCGATAAAATTCCACGCCAGTCTGCAGGCACTTCATTACCCCCTAGATATCTAAATGCCACGACTTTCATTATCGACTACTCGTAAAAAAAATAGAATCTCTCACTTTAGAATAACTTGTGCTTCACCATAACCAATCGGTTGAGCAGGAATTCTCGGTAGAAATGGAGCAGCCTTCTCTTCCAATCTACCCATGAAATCTATAGTATTCGGAAATAGATACTTTGATCATTCGATAACGAAAAAGTTCTCGAACCGGTGGATGGATATATGGGTGTCAAAGGGTCACCGTTTCCACCAAATGCTGATCCTCTTTGTGTACCGCTTGGCGGCATATACCATTTTTGATCATAGACTTGATCTGGTGTAGTACCGAATGGAGCATAATCAGCCGGATCATTGTATAATATAGCACCTGCAGCTCCAAAGTATTGAGCATGCATCACCTAAATGAAAATACGACAATTTCTTAGCATATTCCCGAATATTAATAATAAGTCAGAAAAACATACTTTATCGCCTCTGAAAATACGACCATATCTCATAATGATAATACTACCTTGAAGACTAGCATTTCCAACGACAGATGCCAAGTGTGTCAAGTCTTCAATTTGGCCATAATTAGCATAGAATAGTTTCGTCTATTTTATCAAAAATATAATCAATAGTTGATAGATTCATTCATAACTTACACTAGAAACCGTTCCATTCGGTGTATAGGCAAGAAATGGCTTCACTGTTTGTATTTGATTGGGATCATAGACGTGTTCGACTCCTTCTGTTTCAATAGTGATTGTTCCATCTGCACTCCTAAGAGTAACTCTAAATAGAAATTTCGACAAATCTAATAAACTAATCTCTAGAGTTTTCGATCTACCGATTAGGTCTATTGTCGTCGGGATAAGAAAGAAGAACGTTGTATCTTGGTTTGGTTACTTGTAAACCATCACGTTTCCACCGTTCTTCGATCACTTGAGCACTCTCTAGATCTTCTGGTAGTCCAGCGATATGAGGACGTGAAGTGAGATCTCTACATACGCACACTTCTTAGATATTTTTATTCAAGTAGAAATGTAATTGAGTTTACCTTAGATCTGTTTCAATATTCTCTGCTCGAACAGAACTAATGAATGTTTGATAATTGTGTGGGTCAGCTTGTCTTGTAAGATGCGCATACTTGGACGATATGGAAGTGTTTGTTTTACGAATGGCAAAGTGACCAATGATGATGCCAACTCCAAAAGCAAGACAAATTCCAAGCAGCGCACCAATTATAAGAAACTAAGTTTGACACAGTAACATCGTTAAATTGAGTAACTTTATTATTTCTTACCTTTGAATTCATATTTAGAAGAATTTGTATTATATGATTCGGTTGTTATTGATGCTTTGATTCTTTATTCGTTAGACGCAAGACGGCTTATCAAGAGTTGTCACTAAGTGTAGTGTCTTCAGTTTTGAATGAAAGATTGGAGAAAGTTTCTTTTTTCTTTTATTGTATTCTTTCATTCTTATCAATGTGAACAGCTTTTATTCGGCGCATCGATATTTGCAATAGATTAAGCATACTTCATTTTTTTCTTGGCGACATTTTTAAATTAGTGCTATATTCATTTCACAATAGTTAAATAATGCAACAATGACTTTTATGAAAACAGAAAAAAGGATTAATATTATTGGTGATGAATTCAAATCATTTTCAGTCGACATATGAATTATATGGAATAATGCTTTAGAAGGACACAGAAATGAATCCTATGGTCAGATCATAATTTTGGAATCGAATCATGGTCAGTGAAAAACATCATATACTGCATGACTATCACAAAAAGATTTCTTTTTATCATGAAGGCAAATAATGACTACTTAGTTAGCAGATTTGAAACTTTTCTCAGGAGACATACAATAATTAGATACTGGATTATTATTTTCTATTATGCAAATAATTGAAGTTAAAGAGCTATCAGAGTTTCACTGACCAGATATGAAACGAAACAAAAGTGACAAAAGTACTTATCACCCGACAGTATTCTCGATCATAAGTGCAACTTTTCTACTCAATAAATGAGACCATCTCTTCCTATCGGTGTGTCAGACAATTATTATTTTATGATGTTTCTATAAAGGTAAAATTTCACTCTTGCAACGATCAGCCGAGAACACCAACATTAAAATCAAAAGAATAGGAAAGAAAACTTCATTCTACAAAATAAAACGCATGATATATATCGCAATGTTGTTGACTTTTCGTGAAAAGATGTGTGAATATGTAATTTGAAGATTAGTCAAGTTTTTCTATTTACGACTAGTTAATGCACTGGATTGAAATAGATCACTGTGTTCTTTCAAAAATCGCGTATCAGGATGGGTTACAAGTGTCTTAAAAGTGCAAAGAATGTGTTCATAATGGTGAGACATACAGTCTGGAATCTACTACTATTGAGGTGTACCTCCATGACTATCCAACTTATTCCTCATTTACATGGAGGCTAAACACACGAGCAAAGCAAATCTTTCACATTGACGTTGCAATGAAAAGAAATCATTCATGAAAGTTATTTCACGAACACAAAATATCGACTCAATATGAATGTTTTATCACCCCATGAAAGCACACTTGGATCCAATGCACTTTCATCATTTATCTCTGCATACAAGCTATATAAGTACCATCGCTTGTTCAGTGCATCGTAGCTTTCTCTCGGTATATTAGACTTCATGTTATTGTAAAATGATAGTATCATGAAGAAAATATTTCGTTTTAATAACGTTTAATTCGGATACTCGATACATGAATGAAAATTAAGAAAAAAAATTATCAAACTCCTTCAATGTCGAAAGAGCACCACGCACAAAATACGTTGCTATTGCTACTTCAGTATCGATTTCTGTTGAGTCACCATTAGCAACAGCATCACTCACAGAAGGAAAACCAGATGCTGCATATTTATTACCTTTTGCTGGTGCAAACACAATATGCCTTCAATAGAAATCAATCATTATATCATACAAAGATGAAAAAAGCAAATTGCATACTTAAAATCAGTATAATCACCACCTTGTCCCAACGGATTCAGAAACGCACGTTCAAGTTGTAATAATTGATCATTATATGCTCGAATATTGAACGGGCTACAAAAAAAATGATTTCGATTTTTCTTTCGCACTTCACCACTACCAACTTTACTTTTCAAAATCGATTAATTTGGATCTTCTCATAAAATCGTTTGCAGTCGCACCGAAGTCGTTGATAGCTTGTCGAAGTGGATCTAAAAATTGATTTCGATTGTTCTAGAAGAATACAACATTACTCAATTTCCTACCGAGAGCTCCAGGATTATTTGGTTTTAGGTTGTTCATAGCTTCTCGAAGCGCTATTGTATATCGCGAAACATTGAATTGTAAAACAGGTGTCTCAGATAGAAATAATGCTACAACACCCATCAGCTGTCCCATGGTTCGATGAGCCTGATTGAGATATGATAAAATAGACGTCAGGCTATTTAATGTTTTGGAGAAATAACATACCGTAAAGTTTGGATCGATAAAATTTTTCATCATTGCAAAGACTTCATAGGATGTATGATAGAGAGGATAGGAACTCAGACTTTTATAATAAGTATGGTCAAACATATATGTTGCGTCTATGTTCGATGAACCAACCAATTGATCGAAACCAAAGAAATCGCTACCTGATCCAAGACCATATGCTATTCTGAAGAAACAAAAAATGGAAGTTCCAGGCAGCTTTCTGTGCGTTTACTTTGGCTCATTCGTTACATTATTCCACTGAAAATCTACCCATTTATCATAGACAGTTTTCCCCACAGGATCATATGCACTCGGAACCTATAATTAAAGATAGAACCAAAAGTCATGCTCCATTTTGTTTTCATTACCAATTTGGATGCTTCTACAATAATATCAAAAAGCATTGGAGACGTTTTGATTTGAACCGTATGATTTCCTGTTTCAAACATAACTGAAATGATTGTTTCATTTCTCATTAGATATAACTATTACCTTGTACAGCAATGTCGACGTTCAGATATGAAATAATACGAGCGCCGAATACTTTAACATATTCCTTCAAAGTATTACAGTAGCATTATATACTACGCATTAAGGTATTCAAATCAAGGAATTATCATACCTCAACATATTCAATTGATCCGATCAGTCCGTATTCTTCCGCACCCCATGAACAGAACATCAAAGTACGTCGTGGACGAAATCCTGAAAGTGAGAAGCTTCAGTTTTAGTATTGTACAGATATGAATACAAAAAAACAGTACCATTTTTTGCCATTTCACCAAGTACTCGTGTTATTTCAAGCATAGCAGCAGTTCCACTTGTCGGATCGACAGAACCCAAACTCCAAGCATCTCTGAAATAAGAAAGCCCCTTAATCATTGAACAACGAGAGACATTAAATAGTATAATCTTGACGAAGATAAATGATAAGAATCACATTTTCTAGCATTGGTTCACTTTTCTTTTCTTATTCTTAAATGTGACATTCTGAACAAAGAGCGATACGTCGTGTCTTACCGATGGTTCCCGAAAACAATGTATCGATCTATAAATAGAACGAAGTTCCAATAATAGACTAAAAAATTGTCAGCAAACCTGGCTCAATTTCTCCTTTCATGATTCCAATTACATTGTAAGTATCTCTTCTTTCGAGGCGATTGAATGATTTTACTTCAATTGAACTAGAGAAATATTGAAAATTAGCTACGCGAGATTATAAAATCAACTCATCTTACGATGAATTAAGCAGTTCTCCACCATATCGATACGCTACATTCGATAAAATTCCACGCCAGTCTGCAGGCACTTCATTACCCCCTAGATATCTAAATGCCACGACTTTCATTATCGACTACTCGTAAAAAAAATAGAATCTCTCACTTTAGAATAACTTGTGCTTCACCATAACCAATCGGTTGAGCAGGAATTCTCGGTAGAAATGGAGCAGCCTTCTCTTCCAATCTACCCATGAAATCTATAGTATTCGGAAATAGATACTTTGATCATTCGATAACGAAAAAGTTCTCGAACCGGTGGATGGATATATGGGTGTCAAAGGGTCACCGTTTCCACCAAATGCTGATCCTCTTTGTGTACCGCTTGGCGGCATATACCATTTTTGATCATAGACTTGATCTGGTGTAGTACCGAATGGAGCATAATCAGCCGGATCATTGTATAATATAGCACCTGCAGCTCCAAAGTATTGAGCATGCATCACCTAAATGAAAATACGACAATTTCTTAGCATATTCCCGAATATTAATAATAAGTCAGAAAAACATACTTTATCGCCTCTGAAAATACGACCATATCTCATAATGATAATACTACCTTGAAGACTAGCATTTCCAACGACAGATGCCAAGTGTGTCAAGTCTTCAATTTGGCCATAATTAGCATAGAATAGTTTCGTCTATTTTATCAAAAATATAATCAATAGTTGATAGATTCATTCATAACTTACACTAGAAACCGTTCCATTCGGTGTATAGGCAAGAAATGGCTTCACTGTTTGTATTTGATTGGGATCATAGACGTGTTCGACTCCTTCTGTTTCAATAGTGATTGTTCCATCTGCACTCCTAAGAGTAACTCTAAATAGAAATTTCGACAAATCTAATAAACTAATCTCTAGAGTTTTCGATCTACCGATTAGGTCTATTGTCGTCGGGATAAGAAAGAAGAACGTTGTATCTTGGTTTGGTTACTTGTAAACCATCACGTTTCCACCGTTCTTCGATCACTTGAGCACTCTCTAGATCTTCTGGTAGTCCAGCGATATGAGGACGTGAAGTGAGATCTCTACATACGCACACTTCTTAGATATTTTTATTCAAGTAGAAATGTAATTGAGTTTACCTTAGATCTGTTTCAATATTCTCTGCTCGAACAGAACTAATGAATGTTTGATAATTGTGTGGGTCAGCTTGTCTTGTAAGATGCGCATACTTGGACGATATGGAAGTGTTTGTTTTACGAATGGCAAAGTGACCAATGATGATGCCAACTCCAAAAGCAAGACAAATTCCAAGCAGCGCACCAATTATAAGAAACTAAGTTTGACACAGTAACATCGTTAAATTGAGTAACTTTATTATTTCTTACCTTTGAATTCATATTTAGAAGAATTTGTATTATATGATTCGGTTGTTATTGATGCTTTGATTCTTTATTCGTTAGACGCAAGACGGCTTATCAAGAGTTGTCACTAAGTGTAGTGTCTTCAGTTTTGAATGAAAGATTGGAGAAAGTTTCTTTTTTCTTTTATTGTATTCTTTCATTCTTATCAATGTGAACAGCTTTTATTCGGCCCTTAGAGATTTGCGATAGATTAGCTATAATTTATTTGCGTTGTAAGGGCGTTTTATTTTTCAAATCAGTGCTATATTTATTTCACAGAAGAGAAAGGATAGAACGAATGCTTTGGTGAAGTAGGAAATAATTCTTTCTTTTTGCAGAGGATTGCACGTTTCTTCGATCGACGTATGTGTTACGAAGAGCACTAAAAAGGTAATAATGGTTCTTGTGCACGAAACAAGTTCCGTCGAATTGTTTTATTAACAGGAATTGTTTTAGAAGAAAACGGGATAATATGCGATAATTCTACCGCATAATTAGTAGAAAGTATAATATTCGTCATTGTTTTGAATCTATGTCTGTAAAATGAAAAATGATAATTATTCGTTTAACTGATTTGAAACAATTTTTTATTGAATGTACAATATTCAGTTAATGAAACACGAGGTAGAAGTTGCGTAGATGAATATTATGCAACATGCTTCCTAAGAGTAGCCGCAACTATTCTTGAACATTTACATACGAGCAACAACAGTAAAATGAAAAAAATAGAAAATAAAATGTCGCCGAGCGAAATAAAACCTATAATATATATTTCAATAATGTTGATTTGTCGTTGTAACTTATTGCGTGGAAAGATATACGAATGTATAAATTGAAGCTGAGTGAAAATGTTTTGTGCGTCAGACTATAAATGCATTCAATTGAGTTCGAACTGCTTGTTCTTTGAACAATGGTTAATCAACATGTCTTGTGAGTATCTCATATATGAAAAAATCTGTTAATAGTGGAATTCGCCTTGTTTACTTTTCTTAGTGTTCAATTTACACGATGATTAAAAAATAATACGACTAATTGATCAGCAAACTATTTCAATTATCGATTTTAATATCATCTGCTCTTCTAAATAAATTAGAGAATTAGGTAATATAATTGTTTAACATTGAATTAAATATAAAAATTCAAATTTGTAATAATGCAAGTCAAGTTTATCTATTTCTTCTACTATGTCGTATAAGTCATAAAACGAAGAGTTATGAACATTGAATTCAAGAAGTTAACTTAGATATGATTATGGTTATGTTGAGGAAAGAGAATTATCGATTGAAAATGTCTAACAAAAATTGCATAAAATATACAGAATGTAGACTCAAACTTCATTATAAATGAAAGACGCATTATTATAGTATATGACTAGTGTATTGCTAGCTCTCGATTGTTCAGTGAGCTCCATGCTGTTACATGCGGGTTTCCATTGAATAAGCATGCCTACATCCTTATATACTTCATTGTGAAGTTAATACAAGAAATATATTCACATAACGATTGTTTATTTGTACTTATCCGCAGTGCAACTTAATAAAAACATATTTTGCGGTTTCACTCGGTTTGATCAGAAATTTGAACGCAAAACATCTCCACTAACACAATTAGTTTAGATCGCTGATATAAAGCTTAAGAAATACGTTAACTCAGGAAAAACCCGCTTTCGTAGCTCAATGACTTTTAGTTGTACCTCACTTTCAATTCTTGGTAAAACTTACCATAGTAATTATCATGCTTGAAAAGTTATTTTTTCAGGAATAAAAAGAAAACGATTAAAAACACAAACGACAATTCTGTAACATTCAGCTTGAAACCTAAACAAACCCTTATTACAATCTCTTTCATCATTTAGCTGTGCATAAAAGCTACACAATAGCTATCGCGTGTTCAATGGATATAGATTCATCTTGGTAAACTAAACGTCATGGTATCCTAAGCAAAGTTCTCTCCAAAAAAATATTTCGTTTTAATAACGTTTAATTCGGATATTCGATACATGAATGAAAATTAAGAAAAAAAATTATCAAACTCCTTCAATGTCGATAGAGCACCACGCACAAAATACGTTGCTATTGCTACTTGACTATCGATTTCTCTTGAATTACCAGTAGCAACAGCATCACTCACAGAAGGAAAACCAGTTGCTGCATATTGATTACCCTTTGCTGGTGCAAACACAATATGCCTTCAATAGAAATCAATCATTATATCATACAAAGATGAAAAAACAAATTGCATACTTAAAATCAGTATAATCACCACCTTGTC